TATGTGGTCGTGAGGGCTGCCGTGAGATCAAGTGAATTTTGATGTTCAGTGTCAGCAATCTCCTCTGGATTAGTTAGTCCCATCCTCCCAGTCTTAACATGTAGTACTAGTGTTGTAGTGAACATGTAGTACTAGTGTTGTAGTAAATATGTAGTACTAGTGTTATAGTGAACATGTAGTACTAATGTTATAGTGAACATGTAGTACTAGTGTTGTAGTAAACATGTAGTACTAGTGTTATAGTGAACATGTAGTACTAGTGTTGTAGTGAACATGTAGTACTAGTGTTATAGTGAACATGTAGTACTAATGTTATAGTGAACATGTAGTACTAATGTTATAGTGAACATGTAGTACTAGTGTTGTAGTAAACATGTAGTACTAGTGTTATAGTGAACATGTAGTACTAGTGTTATAGTGAACATGTAGTACTAGTGTTACAGTGAACATGTAGTACTAGTGTTGTAGTGATCGTGTAGTACTAGTGTTGTAGTGAACATGTAGTACTAGTGTTATAGTGAACATGTAGTACTAGTGTTGTAGTGATCGTGTAGTACTAGTGTTGTAGTGAACATGTAGTACTATTGTTGTAGTGAACATGTAGTACTAGTGTTGTAGTGATCGTGTAGTACTAGTGTTGTAGTGAACATGTAGTACTAGTGTTGTAGTGAACATGTAGTACTAGTGTTGTAGTGAACATGTAGTACTAGTGTTATAGTGAACATGTAGTACTAGTGTTGTAGTAAACATGTGGTACTAGTGTTGTAGTGAACATGTAGTACTGGTGTTGTAGTAAACATGTAGTACTAGTGTTATAGTGAACATGTAGTACTAGCGATGTAGTGAACATGTAGTACTAGTGTTGTAGTGATCGTGTAATACTAGTGTTGTAGTGAACATGTGGTACTAGTGTTGTAGTGAACATGTAGTACTAGTGTTATAGCGAACATGTTGTACTAGTGATGTAGTGAACATGTAGTACTAGTGTTGTAGTGATCGTGTAGTACTAGTGTTCTAGTGAACATGTAGTCCTAGTGTTGTAGTGAACATGTATTACTAGTGTTGTAGTAAACATGTGGTACTAGTGTTGTAGTGAACATGTAGTACTAGTGTTGTAGTGAGCATATAGTACTAGTGTTGTAGTGAACATGTAGTACTAGTGTTGTAGTGAACATGTAGTACTAGTGATGTATTGAACATGTAGTACTAGTGTTGTAGTGAACATGTAGTACTAGTGTTGTATTGAACTTATAGTACTAGTGTTATAGTGAACATGTAGTACTAGTGTTGTAGTAAACATGTAGTACTAGTGATGTATTGAACATGTAGTACTAGTGTTTTAGTGAACATGTAGTAGTAGTGTTGTAGTAAACATGTAGTACTAGTGATGTATTGAACATGTAGTACTAGTGTTGTAGTAAACATGTAGTACTAGTGATGTATTGAACATGTAGTACTAGTGTTATAGTAAACATGTAGTACTAGTGTTGTAGTGATCGTGTAGTACTAGTGTTATAGTGAACATGTAGTACTAGTGTTATAGTGAACATGTAGTACTAGTGTTATAGTAAACATGCAGTACTAGTGTTGTAGTGATCGTGTAGTACTAGTGTTATAGTGAACATGTAGTACTAGTGTTATAGTAAACATGTAGTACAGGTGGACTATAAAATCCAGCAACCTCGGGACCTGAAAGTGCGGATTTTCGAAAATCCGGGAAAATCCGATGCTGGCATTGCTGTAAGCTCAACAGAAAATGACTACCTGCATAGTCCTTTAAACAAAGAAATTAAAACACCCAACAAAACCAAATGAAATTATATTATAGTGTTGCATACAGTATATTTAACAGAAAATTACTACCTGTACAGTCCTTGTAAAAAAATAGAAAATTAAACACTAAATGAAAAATCAAATGAAATTATAATAAGCTTTATCAGGCTAAACAGCAGATGGGTCAGTCAGATTATCATCTGTATCACTGACAGTGACAACATCCTCAGTGCTAACAGGAACAGCCTTAACTTGTCTGAAGTTGATGGCAGTGGATTATCATGTGGACACCGCTGTTGCTTCTTCCTGCTTCCTAGCTATTTTCGAATATATCGGCAATGTCTGTTGCTTCACAAGACTTGGGCTCCTTTTCTCAATAAGTTTATCTTAGAGCAAAGAAAACACTATGATTTCTTGTTCACTTACAAACTTCACATTGCTCTTAGTCCAGCCAGCAGTTCAGGCTACAACGCACTAACCTGTCAATAGAGATTCTCTCTACATCTTCCTCATTTTCTTCTACTGCTTATCTTTCATAACTACTCACAGGTATTTCTTCCTGACTTTTAACCATATCTACAATTTCAGAATCAGTGTAATGATGAATCAGAAGGGACATTATCATCAACATCAAACCATTCTGTTAAAACATTCATTTATCCTTGATGAAAGCCCTTGGCATCAGCATTAGTTACATCTTTTAACATACAAGAAGTTCATGTATGTTGCTCTTCTTTAAACCCTAAATCCTGCAAAAATCATTTTCTGTGTCTTCAAGAATGAGAAGTAAACATTAAACTTGGCCACAATTTATGCCATCCATTTTTTGTGTTGATGCTTTTAATAGACGCCCAAGCATTGGCAACACAGCACACTGCATCCCACGTTTAACTCTTTATGAATCTCGTACTAAAACAATTAACTGAACTCACTAGGCGCCTATTAACAGGGATCGATACTTACACTTCATAGAACGTATGATACCATTGTCCTGTGGTTGAATTAGTGATGTGCAGTTGGGTGAGGTAGGTAACAAAACATTATCTTTTCATTAGAAGATCGCTTTTGGATGTGCCAACAATTGTCTAAAAATAAGAAGTATCTTGCATTTAGGGTCTAGTCCAACTGAGCTACAGTGAGCCCTGGCCTCAGGAACAAACATTTATGAAACCAATCCAATGTAATATCAGTGGTAGCTCAACCCTTCTTGTTGGCACGGTATTGACAGAAACTTGTCATACCCTTTTTTAAAGACCCTCGGATATAAACTTTTTCCAATAACAAGCAACTTACATCTATATGGGTACCGCGAGCATTAGAGCAGCATTATCATCGCGGACGCCGATCCTTCTGCTTTAAACCCCGATGGCTTATCTCTCTGCATCAGTTGTCAGAGTTCTTTTGGCGCATATCTCCAAAAAATAAGGCAGCAGCTTGGCCAGCATTGTACACTTGTTCAGGACTCTAAATGTTCATCACTAACTAACTTTTGCAAATTCATCCATTACAGGCACTAGCTGCATCCTTGTCTGCTTGGAAACGTTTTTCACATACTGCACGAACTGTAAGCCATGTCGCGATTTCTGAAACGCTGTCGCCAACCTTTTGTATAGTCACACTGTGTTGCAATCCCAGCTCTTCATGAAACACTTTGCTTTGTTCCTTTAATAAATCACCAGAAATTTCCTACACCTTCACTTACAACGGTTTAAAACCAGTTGAGAACTTGGTCTAGTTCCGCACTTTTTCCTCCGGTTACTGACTTCCTTACAAACATTTTCCTTTTTGATCCACTGTCAGAAAAGAACTTTAACAGTTTTTCTTTCTGTTTTTTAATATCATACACTGTTGAAGAGCCAATAATGTATGTTTCACAAATGGTTCATTTCAGATAATGCCGCTTATCAAGTTTTTTGAGCACTTCCACTTTTCTCTGTGATCACAACGCACGCATGTTTTACGCTTTACGCCACCGCTTTTGCTGAATCCATGATGGGGCTATACAGCAGCAATTAAATGATAAATCAGAAGGAATGAGCATGAATGCTTGTTAAGCAGGTGCAAGTAAGACCCAACAGCTGATTCTGGAGTGCTGTTTATCAAACAAAACGCGCCAGGAGCCTACAAGATATTGGGGGCCTGCCTAAAATAAAACAAGAATCCTTTCTTTTCCCTTTTTCACAGGTTATTATTAAATTGATACTGAGGTAATTTTTCCATTTATTTATTACTTAATCCTATTAGTGTCCACCAGCTAGCTGTGCTTCTGTAAACAAAACTATTTCTGTACTGTACAAGAACAGCTGATCTAACCCATTTCTTTTACTCAATCTGGCGGCAACATCACTGAATCTTTTATTTTCTTGACATCACATTTTATAATTAGGTATTAGCTTGTGCTACAGTGAATATGCTGTCAAATGGGGCCCCATATCTTGGAGGTGCTGCAGTTTCCACGAAAAGTCTTAACCCGTCATCATGGTCCAGAACAATGAAGCGCCACAGTGAAATTTGAAAAATGCGCCTCCGGAACTATGCCGGAAACTGAAGGTTCCGTTTATCGATTGTCGGATTTTTGATGTCCACCTGGTACTAGGTATTACACACACAATCATTGCGATTGTGTGTAAATGTCTGCAGTTCATTGAAATAAACTAGCTTGGGGCTGAATGAACTAAAGATAAAAGGTGAAGTATTATGTTTATTATTAGATTTTTACTACATTTTTTATTATTTTGTTTTTTTCAGAGTCAGGATGAAGGAGCAACCAGGAGCCAGAAACAAAAGCCCACTCCTACATCCCCTTGCTGTCTCACTCCTCAGCAAGTCGCTTATCACCATCAAAGCATCATTTCAGCATGCCAGGCTCATCTACATTATCCCCTGTTAGTGAAAGAAAAAAATTCCAGATGTTGTTTATCCAAATTCTGATAATTTTATTTCCATGAGATATTTATTTAACCCATTAACTCTATAGCCAAAATCAAGAGCAAATACAGACATTCTCTTAGCTCAAATATTCAATATTCTCTACCACAAGGGTTTGTAAGGCTGGCTGGTATTGTACTGGTGTTCGCAGGTGGAGAGATAGGGCATATCGAGCCATGAAACTGTCTCCTCTCCCTAGTGTACTTACACACACAATCATTGTGATTGTGTGTGTAAAATGTCTTGTGCAGTTCATTGAAATAAATCAGTTTTAGGGCTGAATAGACTGAAGATAAAAGGTGAAGTATATAAGTTTTTTATTATTAGATTTTTACTACATTTTTATTATTTGTTTTTTTCAGAGTCAGGATGAAGGAGCAACTCAGGAGCCAGAAACAAAGCCCACTCCTACATCCCCCTTGCTGTCCTCACTCCTCAGCAAGTCGCCTATCACCACTGTGCCAATTACCAGCATGCCAGGCTCATCTACATTATCCCCTGTTAGTGAAAGAAAAAAATTCCAGATGTTGTTTATCCAAATTCAATACCACTCCTTAGATTTGCCGGTGTGTTATCCAGGTTGGATGTGAGTAAGGCGCATGGACCGAACGGAATACTCCCTCGTGTTCTGAGGGAGTGTGCTGAAGCTCTGGCCCCTGTGCTTGCTTGCCTCTTTTGCCTCTGCCTCAAAACCCAAACTTTTCTTTCTTCTTGGAAGCATGCCTTGGTTCAGCCCATCCCGAAGAAGGGTGACCATTCTAATCCCTCTAACTATTGCCCCATTGCCCCATTTGACAGGGTATGGCTTAAGTCTTTGCTTTCTAAATTTCCCTCTTTTGGTTTCTCTCCCCCACTTTGTTTTCTAATCTCTAGCTTCCTTGAGAACCGATCCATGGCAGTTGTTGTCGAGGGATCGATCTCTCGCTCTTTCTCTACCAGTAGTGGTGTCCCACAGGGTTCTGTTCTTTCACCTACTCTCTTCCTTCTTTTTATCAATGATTTACTTCACACTACAACTAATTCTGTCCATTCTTACGCTGATGATTCTACTCTTAACTCTTCTTCACATTTTCCCCTTCCTCCTAACTCTCAAACTAGATCTGTTTCTAGAGCTGATATCATTACTTTTAACAGTGTGGATCTGTGCAGCATCACTGAATGGGGAGGTACAAACTTGGTTAAATTCAATAGTAATAAAACTCAGTATTTACCAATTACACTTTCCCAATTAGATGATCTCCCACCAATTACATTTCAAGACGCTATCATTCTGCCAAATTCTGAAATAAATATGCTAGGCCTCACCATTTCCTCCAATATGTCCTGGATATCACACATCCTTAACATAGCTAAAGCTGCCTCCCAAAAGCTGGGAATGCTGTACAGATGCCGTAGCTACTTCACTCCTGAGCAGTTGCTTTAAGTATATAAGGGATTCACTCGTCCTAACTTGAAGTACTGCTCTCATATCTGGAATCAAAGGCATTTCGTCTTATTAACTCTCCTCCTTTAGTTGGCAATCTCTCTTCTCTTTCTCTTCGCCGCAATGTTGCTTCACTCTCTCTCTTTTACAGGTACTTTAACGGGCTCGTAACACATGTCTTGCCCGCGGTGCCCACCGTTTCTCTGTGGATGTCGGTCACACTGGAATAACCCGTTATAGTACATCCTAATTTCCTCACACAGCCAAACTGTGGAATGCTCTGCCGTCTTCTGTGTTTCCATACTTATACAATCTGTCTCACTTTAAAAGGCTGGTTTTCCGGCATCTTCGTGGTGTAGATTAACACAGTATAACCTTTTTCTTTTCTTTTTTAATTTCTTTCTGTTCTTATTTTTTTGCCCCCCAGGCCCCGTTGTTGGTCGTTCGACCTGTGCCCGTGTGGGCTAAATCCCATAAAAAGATTATAAAAATAAAATCCAAAAAAGGCTCCAAGTGTCAAGCTAGTTTACCTCTGTTACTTACATAGCCAAGCCTCACTCACCAACAGCATGTCCATCACCTCAAATCAGTCAATGTCATGGTCTCTGATCATTCACCCACATCATTACTTCCTGGATGTCCATCACAATCACTCTTTGTACAGTACAGTGTATCCTTTATCACATCCTTCTGCCTCCTCCTTGGTCTTTTGCTCTCCCCTCTAGCTCTCACATCTTAGTAATTGCACATATTCTACCTATCTTTCACTTAGCATTCTTTCAATATGTAAATACTGTACTATTGTGGTTCATAAGTAAATACAGGTGGACCCTCTCCTATCTTACAACTTTGGGGCCAGGACCATGCTAACAATAATAATTCCCACTCAATCAAAGCTTATAAGGTACACTAGTGTAAGCTGCACTTAGACCTAATGCCCCATAAAATTGTGGATTTCTTTGTATTCAAATTTGACATGCATGATATTGAATAAAATTAATAAATAAAAAAGTAATGTGACAGCGATAGTTAATAAATGTATCTTAAATACTAAAGTAATCAATGAAAAATATGTAAACTTCACACATCCCAGGCCACACTGAGCCATAGTTAGGCACTTGTAATCATAACACTCTCACTCTGATGTCCTCAAACAGTACAGTATTATGTATACAGAAAACTTAAGGGTTGATAAAAATTACTTGGTAAATGTAATACAGGTACTGTACTATAGACCCTCAAATCACGAAACAACCTTAATATATGAAGACAGTTTTAGGCATGAATATCAAGAAGTCTCCCTTTCTACTTTTTTCAAACCATACACAGGATGAACTAACAATATACAGTATACAGTACATTTCACTTACCAGTAGTCAGTGTATCTCTTACTCTAGGAAGAACTAAAGCCAGGAGTATTTAATGGTTGCTTATAAGACATTTTGTACTGTGAATTTGGGGTAAAATAATAATTACATACCTATAACAGGGGTGCACCCAAAAATTGAGTAGGGGGGGGGGGTTCCAAATTACTGAGAAGTCTGGCGAGCATTGCGAGCCCTTTCAGCTGGGGGGTCCGGGGAGGGCACTGTAAGCCCCAGAAATTTTTTTGAAATCTGACCAATATTTGACACCATTTGCACTGAATCTTAGGAAATAATCTGAGATTGAAGATGGTAATATAATAATATATGAAGATATATGAGCATAATGCAATTCTCATAGGATTATATAAATTTTCGAGCAATTGTATTATAGCTAACTATAACAGTAATAATATACCAGCACAAGACTAATATGACAACTTACCTTTTCGAGAAAAAACTATTGATAGTTGTTTGCTGACTGGTAGACATAGCGTTGTTGAAGGCTGTGGCATCCAAAGTAGATGTAACTACACCAAAAACTACTTGTGAAGTGAGGAGGAGAGAAGTGGGAACATGTTCCCTTACCCAGCATGCTCGATTTCCAACGCCGTATTATTGTACGATTGAGTTATTTGAAGCACACTTGCGAAATCATCAAATACAGTGATCCCTCGGTTAACGAGATTTCGGTTAACGATTTACCTTCCATAAGATTCTTAACTTCGGTTAACGAGCAATCCCTCGATTAACAAGTTTTGTACGAGCCGACCTCAACATGTTTTCGCTTGCATTTGGCGGTTCACCAGCTGTAGTATTAGTCCGCCAATACAGTAATCGGTTTTAGGGCTTAAATTCCTTACTATTTTAGTAAATATCAAGAAGTTTATACTATTCAATAATTTTAAAAATTTAATATTAAATTTTTTAGTCATTTTAACAATTATTGAACATAGTTGAAGGTAAAGAAACTAGTTTCATGCGCGCCATCCAGCCTGGCAACACACCAAACAGGCGCCAGTGGAGGTAACATCTTGCTTGAGACTCTCTTCAACTAAACGCTTTTTTCTGTGTTTGCAAGCAAATTATTGGTCATTTTGAAATTTAATTACATATTGACAATATATAATGCAGTGCAGTGTTGATTTAAAGAAAATAATCTTGAATTACACCAAGAGAACTAAAATTTTATGGGTGAAATGGTGCCATGGGGTGACTTCTCTTCCACCCCAATGCCTTCTCTTCTCCCTTCTCCTCCACCCCCATTCTAATTCCCATCATCATCATCCAGGAGCCTTCTACATACATACCTCAAAGTAAGTTTACTTTTCTACCTTTTTTGTTGAATTTAGGCAATTTTCGGTGAGCTGGAACCAATTACCCAAAAACCCATTGAAACAATGGTTTCGGTTAACGAGCAACCTGCTGGAACGGATTGTGCTCGTTAACCGAGGGACCACTGTATGTGAAAGTGGATGGAAAAATAATTTATAAATATGTAAAATCTATAGAAAATGTACAATGTAGATGAGAAAATGAAAAAAATCACATTAAATCTCAATATTTCACACTGTCTGGCAGTGCTGTATATTAAGTGCATTCAGGTGCATGGGAATGGCAGAGGTGGTGGGTGGAAGTTACCGTGGCGTGGGTTGAGGTCAGGTAAGCTGACCCAACCTTCGTGTTACTAAGGTGTCGCCAGGTCAGGTATGGGTTGGCCACACCATGCAGTACCTGGAGGGGGGGGTTTCCGGGCAACCAGGAAACCCCCCTGGGTGCGCCACTGTATAAACACACAACACAAGGGGCCATGTAAATAGCATGTGCCATAAGTTATCTCCAATCATTGGTTTAATTTGACCAATATTAATTTCAAAAGCTACTTGAAAACAATATTGGTATTTTATTATTATAGTACAAGTAAATATATATAAAGATAATCAAGGTATAGGGCTATTTATTTAATCAGGCAATAATTATTCATGCATTTACTACTTTTGGTAAATGGCGCATTTGGCGCAACTCACTAGAAGCCGCTAGGATGCAATATCACAGTTTTCACTCCGGTTACATACATATTTCCTTTCACATAAAGGTAAGGACCTTGCTATGGTCACATTATTACCTACACATACAGAACACCTAAAGTCAGCATCATCCTGCAGTATGCCGCTGCATTTGTTGTATCTCTGTACATTTATTCACCATCCACAGTGTTATGCCTTTTATGTTTATGGCATTCTTCTTCTGTGCTTTACTCATTTATTCATATACCCAACACACTGCTTATGACGTGTCATCCCCAGAATAACACACAGGTGTGCAGTTGGGGAAGAATGCATCCTCTCTCCTTTTATCCTTTACCTCAGAAAAACATTGTAGTAGTCACGTATTTGCTACCACGATTTCATTACATTTCTCAGTGAATTTTACCCAAAATCATGCCTTCTGAATTTACAGAGAGCAATGATGGCAAATTTAATTTGAAGAGGCAGAAGAAAGTGATGGCTCTTAAGTTAAAAAGTAGAATTATTGGATTGGTTGGCTTGAAGTGAAAGTGGAGCTTCAATGGCAACTTATTGTGGCATTAATGAATTTGCTGTTTGCTACAAAAATAAATGAGTGCACTGTCCAGACCTTTGTTGGTGAAGTGTAGAGTAAGCTAGGGGCTTATTTTGTTAGCCATAAATCTATCCCCGCTTATCCCAAACAT